ATCCTAGCCTCTTCCTGGGCTTTGTCAAGAGCAAGACTCAGCTGCTCTTTGGCCTGAGTTTCCCGGCTCATCGCTGCCTCCTCAGCTTCACTGGCACGGCTGGCATTCACCTTATGAAGTTCTGCCAACTCTCTGTGAACGGATATTAAAGTAGTCCATCAACATGACGACCCAATTACAATGTTAATGTGCAGTGTTCAGAAACAAATCGAATTGTTTTGTGCTCTGACTCATTAGATCATTAAACCGTAATATTACTGCTTTGCATAAGTGGGGTAATAAAAAAAGCCAGCCAATTAATTTGAAACACTCATTGATCCACAGTTGGCCATTTTAGGACCCCTCAACTTTATTTGATTTACCCTTTATGTCCTTCCTGTTTCAATACTTTCCATGTTTTTTCTCTTTATTCAAACCAACTGTACAGTGCTGTACAGTACAGTAGATGAGAACTGTGCCACCATCATGTAAGATTGATAGCTAGATTGTCAAATATACCCTGCCTGGATTCATGATGTTGAGAGTGAGCCATTTATACGGTCATTTCCTTCTATTAACCATAAATTTATCACATTTTGTATTTATGTCTCTGGCACAGTAAATGTGCGAAACAGCCCAAGTCTGAACTACCTTCAAATGACTTGAAACTGGAACACAAGAAAATAAACATCAACATTGAAGCATTTGGTTCAGGTGAAACAAAAAAACGCTGCCTCCTATTGGGTTGATTCCAAAAAGAAGTATTACTGTATTTACAGTAAGTATATTCAGTGTTGGTACATGAGGGTGTGGTGGTGTTTACTTGTACGCGCTGTCCAGGGCAGCCTGGAGACTTCTGTTTTTCTCCTGCAGCTCATCAGTGTCTGACTGCAGCCTAGTGATCTCCTTCTCCTGACGCTCCACCAACCCGTTCAGCTTCTTGATGTTATCCCTGTGCTGTTTCTCCACTTCCTCCTTTCCATCTAGAATCTGTGCAAAAGATGTTCAGGTAAAACACCTTGATCAAGAGCAGAGCAAAATCACACTGGTAACTCATTTATCTATCAAGTCATTTGTGGAGTAAAACTTTCAACTGAGAAGAAAAAAAAATGGTTCTTTTTTTTTTTTTTACAAAAAAAAGCAACTATAGCTGCATTTTATCTGGTAAATATGACAGAAAGTCTAAAAATACATCCTTTTACAATAAAAAAACAAAAAAACAACCAAGATAAAAACTGCTTTGTTGAAAGCAATAGACAAAAATACATATAAATATATCTGTGACACAAAAGACCAAAGAGGTAATTAAGGAGTTAAGGCATGTCACTTACACGAACACATTCCTGCAGTTACAAAATATAAACATGAGACGGTACACGCTTACACGTGACTTAACTTACTGTTACTGATACACAAACAGGTGTTATTTGAAACTCTGGTATTTACACTATGTCACTGCTAAGTCTGATATACAGGATTAAATCTGGTTATATTAAAAGGGTAGCATGCACGTAGGTGTCCCAAGGTGAAAATATCAGTCTATATGAGATGAAAAAGTTTTGTTTTAGATATGATTCAACCAACTGAAGACAGCATTAAGTTCTATTTGTAATCCTCCTTTAAGTCTTTAAATAAACTTTGCTTACATAACTCTTAGTACTGTGCACCTCAACCTATTGCAGAATCAGTTCTAACCTGCTGGAGTTGTGCAAGTTCATCCTCCTGCTCCTTGACCTTCTTCTGCTGCTTGACGATCTTTGCATCACTGTCCCGTTCCTTCACACGCAGCTTTTTGATGATGTTACTGTGTTGGAGCTGCTGCTTTGATAACTTCTCACCTGTGAGTTAAAAATAAAAAGTTGAAAATCCTGTAAACAATTAACAGACAACATCTGAGTGAACGAGGTTTTGGATGGGCTAAATTAATTAAAAATTCATCAACTTTATGAAGCTAAATTTTGGGTTTTACTTTTGTATATTTTTCTTGTAATTTTTTATTTTATCAATTCCATATTTTTTGTGATATTTAGGAATTTTGGTTTATCTTGATTAATCTTACATGTTCATGATTACGATCATGATGAATCGCCAGCAATACTAGTTTTTTCGCAGTACCTTCTTCTAGGAGACCTCTGATCTGCTCCTCCTTCTCTCGGATAATCTCCAAGGTATCACTGGAGTTCAACCTTGTAGAAAGCTCTTCTCGCAAGCCCTTTATCTCCTGTAGCACAGAGTAACATTGTTAACAGAACTTCTTAAGTGTTAACGTATCATATTTTATGATAAATGTACTCAATGTTAGGCTTGTTGCTCGAGCAGGATTTAAATAAAGTGCTGTTCAGCCACTGATTTGCTGAGAAACGTAAATACAGCAGGTACCTTCTTGGCTATGTCTCTCTCTTTGCATGCCAGCTGAGCTTTTCTCTCAGCATCTGCTATGCGTTTGGTGAACTCATCCATCAGGGACTGCACAGTGGAGCTTTCCTCTTTAAGGCTTATCACTTCACTGGGGGATGAAAGAACTCATTGTCAAAATCCATACAGCCTCTGAGCCTATAGACAATCTGCACAGCCAGACCACTTAACAATTTATCAACATGTCCTCAAAACAGCCTAAGTGAAACAAGTAATGAATGCTAATGTTAAACGCTAACATAGTGTAACTGTGTCGCTAATGTAATGTTACCAAAAGACTGGTCAGGACATCTGTGTTCACATCTGTCTGTATTTACTAAATATGGCTCAAATAAGTTTTTTCAGCGTCTTCGACAGTGAACCAGTTGCACATGCTTTTCACTGACTCTTTGAGATTGTCGCACTCCTCCTCCAGTCTGGCCTTATCTTTGCTGACAGCCAGCAGCTGAGACTCTCTTGCTTCCAGGCGTCCTGACAAATCATCAATTACCTGCAACACAACAACATTTGAGGAAGTTTACAAAAGTTGCTGAAGAGTAATTGAAGAGTTTGTATTAAAAAAAAAAAAATCAGACCAGCCTGGTGTTACTTTAAAGAGGGAAGCAAAAAGGATGAACACCATTTTGAGCAGGAAGAGGGAATTCTCACATTCTCTGGTTGGATTGCATCATTTTCAGAATCAAATCAGTTTTAAAGTGATTAAATATATTCAGAAAAAATAACTTGCTCACAGCCTTAATGGCCTTTCCTTTATATTTCTTAATCAAGTTTCTTATCTATGACATTATTTTAGATCATAGAATGGACTGGATCACTGGGCGTTTACACTAAAAGCTAATTCACTGTGATTGTGGTACTTACTTTTTGAAGTTCTAGTATCTGAACTGTTGAAACACTCTTCATCTCTTCGGTGATTGGTGGAGTCATGTGTTTTTCAGAATTGGAGAAGGACTCAGAGAGTGTAACACTGGTCTCAGATTTAGGTTCCCACTCCATCAACTCTTCAGGCTGCTCAGTATTCACAGGTGTAGCACTACGGCCACTCTCCTCCATCTCATCCACAGTATGCTCCATCATCACCTCACAAAGTCCCTCTTCCTCTTCTTTTTCCACGTTCTCTACCACTTCGTCTTCCTGCTTTTGACATACAGCTGGTGACACTGTAAGATGACCAGCACCCGCAGTAACAGCTGCCAGCGTCCGACTACCGGGGATCTCATCATCTGAGTTGACCTCACTAACGCTGCGACTATCCAGTGACTGGACACTGAATGAATCAATGCGTTCAAATGCATCTGAAGATGAGCCGCAGCTCTCTGTGAGTTTGGGATAGTCCTCTAGTCGGGGGAAATCACCACAAGTGGAGGCAGAGAGAAGCTGAAATGAGCCCTGCATCAAGTGGAGGCCAGCTTTACTGTCGCCATTTTCTTGTCTGGAACTGGCTGAGCTTTCACTTAACACACTCTCATGGTCAAGCACTTCAATGTCACTGGTTGTGGATGTTCCTGAGGAAAAAGCACTAACTGGAGGGGAAGGTGTATCATTTTGCCGATCCTCTGCCTTTGAGTCTTTTTGCTCCAGAAGCACTTCTTTAGAAGAAGCAGAGGATGAAGGACCAGAAGGAGAAGAGCTCTTCAATTCAGAAATTGCAGGGGAAGGTTCAGAGGAGTCAGTAGTGTCCTGTTCATCTTGCTGCACTGAAATCTGTGACTCTTCTGCTTTTAGGTCGAGAGAAACTGTCGAAATCACATTTGTTTTTTCACTGCTTAGTTTACTTTCAGGGTCATGCAAAGTATCACAGGAAGAAGACACGGAAAAAAGTTGCTGCTCCACAGCAGTATCCGCATGAGGTGCTGATGGTGGAGGACCATTCTCCACCAGTTGTTTTTCAGCAACTGTTTCACTCTGGGAACTCTCTTCAGTAGATGTTAATATTTGACAGTCATCATCTTTCTCCTTCTGCTTCTCCTGAGACTTCCTTTGGGACTTAGCAGGGGGAACAGACACTATTTGTCTTTGGTTTGCACCTTGTGCATCTAAAGGTGACAAGAAGGCACTGAAAAAGTTTTCAGAATCATCAACAACTGTGCGGGTAACAGGTGTAGTGATGGCCTGAGAGGTGGGGGAAGGAGTGGTGGTCTTTTCCTCAGGGGGTTCTTCCCACTGCGTTAAACCCCACCCTCCACTTAATGACAGCTTTCCAGGTAATGTGACATCTGAAAATACCAATAGTTATTTTCACTACTGTAGCAACTGTGGCAGCTATAACAATAAATAAGCTTTATTTACCATTCACTAATCTCAACTCTACTATATCATAATATCATTACTCTACTATATCATAATAATATCAATCATATAATAACTACTAGCAGTACACTTTTGGGTTAAACTAAATTTAAAAGCAGCCAATCAAGTGGCATACATTAATATGCAAATATGATTTTTTTTTTCTACCACAACAATTCACATGTTGTTGCCACAGATAAATATTTGGATAGTGAGAGCAGGATCCACAACCACACCTATTAACCTGTTGAAATTACAGTGACAACGTTTCAGTTCTTTACATTAAAAGTCTGCCATATCTATTTATCTATGTGTAAACCAACTTAAGGGATATTGCTGTATAAATTCAATCTGACTTGTTTTCCAGTATGAAGTCTATTTGTGTTTATGTCTTCAAACAGAATTCAAACAGAACAAATTGTGCTTGGCGTTATCTAGCTTACACAGGTTCAGTTAAAAATAACTATACTTTATGACTGTATGGCTGTTTTGTCTGTGCAGTGTATTGTTTCCCCAGTACAGTGCCTAAGCAGGTCTACCCTGGAGTAACAGAAGCCCCTTCTTATCTTAACACTGTGCCATTATTAGACCGTAAAACGTTACTCACCATTGTAGGGCATTACACTCGACTCATTCCATTGGTCCTCTTCTTTAATGTCCAGGACACGGTCTATTGACTTCTGAGCTGTTGTCAAAGCTTGTTTAGCGAAGCTAGATAAGTGAGATGCGTTAAACCAACTCATTTTAAAGACTGGAAGCTAGCAGGGTCACTCACTATTACACAGCTATCACAGCGGAAATTCGACGTCAACGACAAAAAGCGCAGTCACTTGACGTGTCAATGCATTTTTGCCGTTGTCAACGTTAAACGTATTCCGAGTCTGTCAAGATTAAACAGCTAGCCAGTAAGCAACGTTAGCTAACGCAAAACATTAATACCCCTATAGTCAGTGTTAGATCTCCGTAAATGGTAATTTTGCCATTTAACGCGTACTATAGTTACGCCAGTCCTGTACACACACTTGCAATTCTACCTCCGCAACACGAAGCCTACTACTAAGTACAAAGAGGCTTTTTTCGGCCCATTTTGCTCGACTGTCATCGTTTGTTTTGGTCAACTTGAAGCGCTGCTAGCATTAGCCTGCTACTCTATACTTCCTCTTCCACGTAGCAACGTGACGTAATGTTCCGCTGTGACATTAACGTTTGCTGAAACTCAGCTGTGACGTTTCAGGAAATGTCTTACAATTTAGTTAATAATAGTTGTTGTACCTGAAAAAAAAAACTACTTCATGTGGCTGGACTCTGATTAGCCAACTGTGAATACAGTATTAACTTTTCTGTGTTGACTTTTAATATTCATTTTTCCAAGTGCAATTATAAAGATACATCAATTCTCATAATTAGAATCTGCTCTTGAAAAGCTTGTTCTGTGATAACAGCTTATTCTATGGTTATGTGAATATATTATTTTTGTGCATTTGTTTATTGTTTATTATTTATTATACGTATATAATACTATTTGTTTATCATTCTAGTACTGTCACTAAAATATGTGCTGCCTTCTCTCTATCCTAATAATAAAGTTTTCTACATAAGCATTTCTTCTTAATCTTGATTTTACTAAGTTTGTCTTTTTATTTTTAAATCTTATTCATAGAAGTGTACTTTTCATTATGTTTATGTATATTTTATTTTTGTTTCACACGTAATTAATAGTGTATTGTCCTAATGTTTAAAGTGTCCTACAAAATGTAACAATATAAACAGACCTTAGAGTTGTGTGCTGCTTGGGAACCAGTGAAGTAGTTAAACATTAAGATGTTCATTGACATTAGTCAAACACCTGCGTTGTTTTAGAGAGCAAATTAAGGCGTGAACTTGAAGTCACTCAGTCACTGCATTTGGAAATATTAAGGAATGTTGACAGTTAAATTGACACTGCAGGTGAAAAACATGACACATAGCGTCAGGCAAAGCCAAATGTGTGCTTTGTTTATTTGGCTACACTTCCCATTGAACCATGAAACAAAAGTTCCATGTGAGAAAAATCTTTGTTGACAGAAAGTCAGTGTTTACTTATTAACTTTTATTGAGCATTAAATCTATTTTATAGGTCTGTAATAGGGAAGTGTCCTTTGTGCTTAATGGCAATAACAACTTGTTGGTTGACTTAAATGTCCTATCTTTCCTGTTTGAGTACAAACACAGTAGTCAGTCTGTCAAAAGCACACGACCGTGCTGTTATGTTCATTAACACAATGAAAGTCGTTTAGTTTTTGCAGCACTGTTGAAAGTAAAGCTTATCCACTCGTTAGTGAATTCTTTTTCAATTGCTTGATTACTATACTTATACTACAGGGCCTAAAAGCTATTTAATTACCTGCAATCGCAAACTCCTACCAGAAGATGGCAGCATTGATATATTGATCAGTTAAACTCTAGCTAGACGTTTAATAATAATTATGTTTGTAGAGCACTATGTTTAGTTGTGCATATTATTTTAAAAGCTTTTTTATATTTACACAAGTATATGTAAATATTAAATATAAGCACTGATAAACTAATGATCTGAATTTTGTGTGGTTAAAACCTCTTTGTTTGGATGAAAAGGAAGCAGGATCTGTTAAGGTTTTACAAATTGCTGAAGAATTTGCAAATTATTTGTAATAGGTTTATATACTAGTTGCATGCACTAACCCTTAAACTATTTCAATATTAAACTTTAGCTTATTTTATTATAAAAAAAAGTATAATGTTCTATCCTGTTAGCCCTATGATTGTTACAACAGTTTGTAAAATTGCACTGGAAAGTGTTACTAATACACATGAAAAATTGATTAAACTGGATAAAAAAAAGTGTCCTCCCCTGCAGCTCTGTGTATGTATGTATGTACAGCCAAGATTAAAATGAACTGTCTGAGAGATTTACTGCTTTGAACTGTGTTCATCATGAATTACTGTGCGAGATGAGAGAGATTTGAATTTTATTATTATTGCATTAATGGTTTAACAAGTGGGGTGGCTTTCCCTCAGGTACACTGTATGATTAACTGTGTTGGAATGAAGCTCTGCATTCAATCTCTAATTAAAGAGTGATTAATAAACCCGGGCCCTTTTATGGCTTGAAAACATGAATGTAAGCCAGAGAGTGTAATTATCCACCTGTCTACGCCCACCTTTATTAAAAAGAAATGAAATAAAGAGGAGGTCATTTGTAGACTGGTTAATAAAGACAGTGATATCCAGTCTGCGTGTGTGAGTGAAGGAAGAGGGGCCAGTGGAGCAGGAAATTACAAACTTTATTTCCACAAAGGTTTGACCCATTTATATAAACGCTAAAAGGACTGGAATCTGTGTTTTTGTAGTGACCATACACCATTTTAACAGCTTCATTTTGTTTGTGAAACATGTAGTGGTTAAGAACATTAAATATTTTACAAGAAATCACCTTAGAGACACCTACTGGTTCATTTGTTAAACACTGTGAACCAAAAACGATGTCCCCACTTATTTTAACTATAATGGACTTTTCTTAGCATTCAACGCCCATTATTCACTTTTCACTCTAAGTAGTCTCTTCAGTTTTTACTTATTAAATCCCCATCATATCCAACATTAGATTTTTATATGGATGGGGTTTTTTCATATTAAAGTTTCTGATTAGATTAGTTCCAAATTCAGCGCACAAAAACCAGTAACTAAAAATAACTGCCGTCCTTCATAGCTGACTGCCTATCATCTGAGCCACCTTATCATCTTTCATTCTCTCTCTCTCTTCCTGTGAGCTCTGACTGTCCTGTCCGCCTTCATTAAACCTCATGCTCTCATGTTAAGTAGCAAAGCAATTATATGGATTCTCATGCAAAAAAATTGAAGACTGAATCCCACGAGGAACACAGAGTGGAACGGTTTCCATTGCTGTGGGGCTGTTGCTCAGCAAATATGCATGTAAAGTAGACGCTATAAATGAGGTTGAATGTATTTGGGATCTAAAATAGGTCAGTAGAATTGTTGAAAGTGAAAGCACCTTCAAGTTCTGACACAACTGTACAGATTCCATTGAAATGCCATCTGTCATTCTCATACCTTCAGCGGGGGACTCTGTGAACGTCGGTGCCGTGCTTTGACGTGACCCAGCTCCCTGCCATCCATCACAGCCACATGCAGTGAACGTGTCCTCGGAGAGATTGATGAGTCCAGAGTTGAATGGACTGTCCACTGACACACTCCATAACAGCGTTCTATCAAAAGGACGACACGTGTTGGAAGATGAACCTCGGAGGAGTTGTTGACATTCTGCACGTGTGCTGTTCTTGTTTCTCAGGAGATGAAAATTCAGGAATTCAGTTTTGTTGACTTCTCATATCACTGACACACTCAGCGACGACGAGGAAATCATACTTTGACAGCTTTAAGCGCCCCATACATCTCCCTATCCATTTGCCATTTGATGGCTTTCTGTCAGGACATCCGAAGTGCTGCTGATTGTGCTAATGAGAATGTGTCACAACACTGCATCCCATGTTGCCAGCCAGGACACGAGGAGCCTCTTCTGGCTGAATGTTGTGTTGAGCTTTAGAATACAGTAAGTGATTGATGAGTCTCTCTGCTGTACTGCTTTGATTAAGACTCTAGTGATTTATCACCACTGCTCACAATTTAATTACCCTCCACAAAACAATCTTGTCCTGCTATATGATGCCAATATGTTTGAGAGTGCCTCTGTACAGTAAGTAATAGTGTTTTTTTATTTTTACTTTTTTTTTTCATCACATATCACAAATAGTTATTTTACACTCAAGTCGTTGTGAAGAGATTTCCCAGAGAAAATGACATTCTGTGTGCGTAAAAAAAATGGATGTGATGCAGGCATGGTCTTATCAAGCTGTTTAATAAGTGATTGATGTGTTTACTTTTGCAGGAAAATCCCTGGAGTGCTTTCACTTCACCGGTCCCAAGGAGCTCTTTCGAGAGATACTGCTTGTACAGAGTGAATGCATCCATTCTCATTGACACACAAGCGACAAGAACACCAGGATGGCTGCAGTCGAAATGTTACCTCTGCACACTGTGATGGATTATTTGGTAGTTATAATGGAACACTTTGAAATAATGATATAATAAAATACAGCGTAACATAAAAATAAAGTCATAGTTTATGTCACATTGTTTTGAATTATCCCATAGCGAATACAAGTGGAATAAAATTAATGAAATAGCTGAATATTTTTTAAACAATAGCAAGAGATACAATAATTATAAAAACAATAAAAAATCTTTCTGTCAAAAATGAAGGACAAACAATGTCAGCCAGAGATAGAGATTGACAGCAGCATTTAAATCATATAAGTGTTCTTATTATTTTTTGCAATCATCATCATCATCATCATCATCATCATCATCATCATCATCATCATCATCATCATCATCATCATCATCATCATCATCATCATCATCATCATCATCATCATCATCATCATCATCATCATCATCATCATCATCATCATCATCATCATCATCATCATCATCATCATCATCATCATCATCATCATCATCATCATCATCATCATCATCATCATCATCATCATCATCATCATCATCATCATCATCATCATCATCATCATCATCATCATCATCATCATCATCATCATCATCATCATAATTGAAGTGAACAGTTCCGAAATTACCCAGAAACACCCTCAGTCAGTACAACGCTGGTTTGCACTTTGTTCTTCCTGTTTCTGGTGGACAAAGCCCCACATACGTTTGCACTTCCTGTCTGGAAGAGTGGAGGGTGTGCTGTGACCTTGCTGCACGTAGTTTTTTTTATGACAGCTAAGTTATTCAAGGATGAAGGTAAATTCAGACTCTGACCAATCATGCTGAGTTGGTTATATGAACGCCGGGTCGTCAAATCATAACGATATTTACAGAAGATGTTGATTGATCCCTGATCAATTATGATTAATCACAGTAATAAACTCATGGACCGTAACATCCAAGATAATAAAGATAATTCTTGAAGAAGTAAATTGAGATCCTAGAGTGAAACTTTCCTGCTTCGACTGCTTCAACAGCCATCGGACTTCATTCCTACATTACACTTCCTATATCCTGTCCTCCTCGGCATACTTCCTGCTCTGCTGTCCATTCCCTCCTTGTCACTGTTGC